GCCAATGTTCTATTGCAGCGGCTTAAGTACAAAGCCTTTGTTTTCATGCAGGCTTCTCCCAGGGTCTTTACATATCTTCAATGTGGCAAGCATCCCACAGGCACCCTTGCTTCAGGTTTGTAGCGTGATCATAAGCTTGTGCAATGTCAGTTCTTTCAGCTGTGACAAGCAAAGAATCTTTGTCTGCCCCTGGGTGAGGTATGGATCCTTGTTTAACAAATGTTGTGAAGTATACAGAAACATTAACACCAGACAAATGAAAAGGCTATGTGTGAGGCCCTGCTCTACTGGCTTGGAGCCTGGTACACCTTTGTCTAAATCAAAGGATACTGAGAGCATATGCATTTGGAACACTTTGCAAATTAAGGAACAGCTGTAGGGAGTATGTTGCACTGAGCACGGGCAAAAATTAGGATGTCACAGGTACAATGAAAGACACCACTGCTGTGTCTACATTAGTGCAATCTTGCACAAAAGCAGCCGCTTTTGCGCCAAAACTTGCTGCCTGTCTACACTGACCGCGAGTTCTTATGCAAGACCACTGACGTTCTAATATATGAAATCAGTGCTTCTTGAGCAAGAACTATGATGCTCCCACTCGGGAATAAGCCCTCACGTGCAACTGTTCTTTTTATGTTTTTATATGCCATTTATGTTTTACTTGGGATTGATAATGGCACATCCCCAGAATTTCAGGCCAGACAGGTGAAAACACAATGGCTGCGTCTAGACTGGCATGATTTTGCGAACTACTTTTAATGGAAAAGTTTTTCCGTTAAAAGTATTTCCGCAAAAGAGCATCTAGATTGGCACAGATGCTTTTGCGCAAAAAGTGCTTTTGTGCAAAAGCTCGTCTATACTGGGCATGGATGCTTTTGCACAAGAATGCTCCGATGGCCATTTTAGCCATCGGGCTTTCTTGCGCAAAAAATTAAGGTGCCTGTTTACACTGGCCCTCTTGCGCAAATATTCTTGCGCAAGAGGACTTATCTCTGATCGGGAGCGTCAAAGTATTTGCAGAAGAAGCACTGAATTCTTACATTAGAACATCAGTGCTCCTGCACAAATTCAAGTGGCTAGTGTAGACAGCTGGCAAGTTTTTGTGCAAAAGCAGCTGCTTTTGCGCAAAATCTTGCCAGTCTAGACACACTCATTAATAAGAGCAGGAAAATACCTCCAGCATAAAGCTACAGAGTCTCAACAAAGCATCTCCCTGTGGAAGAACCGTAGCAGTCAAAGTAGATGCAGCGTATCCATTTTGTATGCTTTGTACATAGTTTCTGCCCCATACTAACCCATGAGACTAGTTTTCTGGAAAAGATCCAGTTTGCCATCTGCAAAATTGCAGAATTTTATGGCAGTAGCCCAAGTTTGTGATGCTCCTAATCCTATGCCATTTGAATAGGAAAGAATATTCACTTAGTTTCTTGTTCTGTTGTGCAGAGTTGCAAGTATGCAGCCATTCACATTCCAGCTATTAGATTGCTGGTCAATTCTCTTGTGCAAACACAAGCACATCAGTATCTTTCTATAGGAAGTATTCCTAAGTTTAAATGCACACAAAAATACCAAAATTAGATTTCCTATTGCAGGTTTCATTCTGACCCCTCTCACAAGTGCATTGCACAAAAGCTTGTGTGTACTACACACCCAACTGCTGCATGGTGGACATATTATAGCTAAACTTCAGCAAGGGTTTTGACAGGGTCCCACATGACATTCTGATATACAAGCTGGAGAAATGCAGGCTTAGCAGAACTACTATTAAGTTGATACATAATGGGTTAAAGAACCACAGACAGAGTAACTATAAATGGAATAGTGTTAGATTAGATGGAAGGCTCAAATGAGGTTCCACAAGGCTCTGTTCTGGGTCCTGTGTTGCTTAACATCTTTATCAGTGACCTGGCTGCAGGCAGAGGGAGCACGCTGATCAAGTTTGTAGATGATGTAAAGCTGGGTGGAGGGGTTACCAAATGCTTTGGCAAAGAGCTAAAATTCAGAGGGATCTTGATAAAGAACTGGGCTATAAACAACAAAATGAAATGAAGAAAACAAATGTGAGGTGCACTTAAGAAAAAAAGGCACAAATATGGAATAGGGGGCAAATGGCTTGGCATTCAAACAACATGAGTTAGCACTGTGAAGCGGTTACAAAGAAAGCAAATGCCAGGTTAAGGTACATTAACAGATGTAGCATGGAAGACACAGGTGGTGATATTTTGGTCAATGTAGAGAACCTGGAAAGTATGCAGAAGTGAGTGACAAAGATGATCAGAGAGACAGAATGCACACCACGGGTGTGTCTATACAGCAACATTATTTTGAAATAACTTAGTCTATGTCTATACAGCAGGCAGTTATTTTGAATTAATGTCGAACTGGAAGACTTACTCTGACTCCTGTGATTCTCATTGTACGAGGTGTAAGGGAAGTCGGAGGAAGAGTGCTCTATTTCGACATAAGTGCCGTGTAGGCACTCCCTATTTTAAAATAAGCTATGCAATTTAGAACACTATTTTTATAGGTATAATTGAGATTGTTTTCCATTTGGGGGAAGGGATAGCTCAGTGGTTTGAGCACTGGCCTGCTAAACCCATGATTGTGAGTGCAGTCCTTGAGTGGGCCATTTAGAGATCAGGGACAAATTTGTCATGGATGGTACTTGGTCCTGCCATGAGGGCAGGGGACTGGACTCGACCTCTCAAGGTCCCTTCCAGCTGTATGAGAGGTTCATCTCCATATTACATTCTGTATTCTTAGATAGCCCGAGGATGGTGAGCTTGTAGTTGCTGAAGTTGAGAGAAGCACATCCCATTGTGCACATGTTCTTACAACTCTGAGTCAGCAAGCAACAGAACTAACATTATGGTATGACTTGAGGCCTGCATAAGGGGCATATGTAATGCATACATATTCCACAGAGCTCAGTGCAGAAACCTGAAGCCTTCAACACTAAAATCAAGAGCACCTACTACTGCTTTAGAATGATTAGCTCAGCTGTAAATAAGTATCAGTCAGAAAAGATTACATGTATATGCAAAGGCAGGTAAAATAAAAGCTGTGATTTTCTAACAATAGTGACTGTCAAATAGAGCATTTATATACATAACTCATCGAGATGCTGCTAGCAGTAGATAAATGCTTGTGAAGTGATAGACTAAATGTAAGAACTTGTGTGTAAAGCAACAAGTAGGCTAGAAAGACCTGTGAATCAGATACACAACCTCTTCATAGAACACTAGAACTGGAAGGGACCTCAAGAGGTCGTCAAGTCCAGTCCCCTGCAATCACAGCAAGACCAAGCACCGTGTAGAGATCATCCCTGAGAGGTGTATATCTAACCTGCACTGAAGTCTCCAGTAATCGAGATCCTACAAACTCTCTAGGCACTTTATTCCAGTTCTTAAACACCCTGACAGGAAGTTTTTCTTAATGTCTAGCCTAAGCTCTTGCTACAATTTAAGCCCATTGCTTCTTGTCCTATCATCAGAGGTTAAGGAGAATTTTTCTCTCCTTCCACCCTTTTAAATACTTGAAAGTTGTTATATTCCATATCAATTTTCTTTTTTCCAAGACTAAACAAGCCCAATTCTTTCAGTCTTCCTTCACAGATCATGTTTTTTAGCCCTTTAATTATTCTTGTTGCTCTTCTCTGGACCTTCCCCAATTTCTCCACACCTTTCTTGAAATGTGGTGCCCAGAACTGGACACAATACTCGTGTTTGCTAGAAGCATCAAGCATTCACATTGACCACAAAAGTGCTAATGGGATGCCTCAGCCATCAGTTGCTTCTCAGTTTGCAAGTGATCTTCGGCAAGAGGCAACAGTTGCCTGTCAGTAATAGAAAATTACATTAATAGTTTGACTTTCAAGACTCAAAAATGTAAATACCATCCTCATGGTACACACTGTTAATCACAAAAATAAGACAAACTACATGCTGTCCTGGGTAAACACACAAAACATGCTGCAAGTGAGTGGGACACCAAATACGGTTCTACGCCCGGGAGCTGCAGGGAGGGAAGGGGCCAGGCAGGGATGGGGACCAAGCGGTGCCAGCAGGAGTCTCCAACCCGTGGGAGGTTGCTGGAGCTTCTTCAGCCAGGGAGGCTGCATGCGGCATAGCAGCGCAGGGCGGCTGGCCTTGGGGGCCACATACTCACGCTGCGCTCAGCCGACAATGGTCCCACAGCTATGTCAGATGAAGCGGAATGTCGGATTACCAAAGGTCGGATAATCCAGACTCTACTGTACTCAGAAAAGTGACTAACTGAATCCTTTTGTGATGCTGCACCACATTGCAGAGCCCCAGCTACGCATAAGTTTTTACTGACTTTCAAGATGTCTCTGTGTTGACTCTCGAGTGACTCAGTATTCACGGCTACAAACCCCTCTTTTAGGGCTAGGCACCTAACACAGGAGAGTGGGTTTTAGACAAGAAGCCAGTGATGCTTTTCCTCCCCCCTTACATTTGTCCCAGGCATTTAAGCACAGGTCTCCCACATTCTAGGCATGCTCTATTGCCGCCTATGCCTGTGAAGAAGCCCGTACTTGTGCCTTACCCCACCCCACCCCTATTGCAGTGGTTAGGATACTGGACGGTCTATGCAGCATGTTTCTCATTCTCCTGTTTGGGCCACACCAGGCAGGTCTGTACAGAAGGAAGTGGGGAACTGAACCTGGTCTCCCACATCCCAGCCACATATGGTAAGAGGTTGGGGGGGGGGGTAACCACCATTCCCCTCTCCTTCAGCCATCTTATATGGAGAACCTGACTGGATTAGGTTCCACAGACAGGATAGGTGGGGAAACGTGTTTTAAAGATCCCACTGATGCTTAGGTGTGAGATAAGCACCTGAGTGCTTGAACTAAGGAGGCTGTGCACATGCTCACTGGCTGAAAGTTGGTGCCTAAGGTACTTTGTAGTGGAAGTTCAAGTGCCTAAAGGATTAGGCAGCAATTGAGTGGTGATTTGAAGAGCTTAGCAGCAGCTGAGGCTAGATCCACAGAAGGATGTAGGGGTCAGAGCAGAGGATAAAGGAGTATTGTGAAAGAGCCCAGGGTTGCTATCGTACTTCCAGATGAGGACATGCATTCGGAGTTGGGCTCCTTTCAAGTCTGAAGAAGGTCTAGAGAAAACAATTAACTTGGAAGTACAGACTTCTAAAAGATATTTAGGCTCCTAGAGATGCTTCAATAGGAGTCAGGCACCAAACAGGTAAGGCACCTGCCTTTCTATGTGCCTAAATAACTTTGATAATCTGGCTCTTAAAATCAGAAAGTTTGAGCTCTTCAGCCTGGAGTTCAGGTGGGGAAGGGACTGGACGTTGCTGGGACACCTGTGCTAACTCATGGCTAGATGGCAGTGGCATGTGGTGATTCTCATGGGCAAGGTTGGATTAACAGACCAACAAGGAAATTTTAATAAAAAAAGTTTTATTAGATGCACACAGTGGCTGGAAAGTACAGTATCCAAGATGCCACTTCAATCACAGGGAGATTCCAGTCCAGAAAGAGGGGATCACCCTAGTGACAGGCAGAGCCAACTAGCACATCACAATTCTCACTGCAGCCTTGCCAGTGACAGCCAGCAAGCCCCACTGGTACCTGGGGAGCCATTCCTCCCATCTTGCGCTGGCAGTGACCACACCCCAGGGCCATTCACTACTGGGTGCTGGCAGCCCTCCCCCCCCATGAGCTCTGAAGTCCTTTGTAAACACAAACCCTTTGGATCGTTTGCTATGCCAAGCAACTGGGCCAAGCACAAAGGAAGACACTGAGTGAAAGGAAATGGGGAGCAGAGACTTGTTGGGAGGGGAGGAAGAGGGTCCCAAAGCTAGTGAGAGGCTCTTCCCCAGGCTGACAGATCTATCGGGCAGGGACCGATGCTAGACAGGGTCAGCCAGCTGGTGAGATCTGCTGAAGGCAGGAAAGCCATAACCAGATTAAAGTTTTCCAGCCCAGGGAGCAAGGCCTCTCACCACTCTCTGCCTCCTCTCAGAAATATGGGCGTAAGAGGGAGAAAGCAGAGAAAAGAGCACTGAAGAGACGGGCACTTCGTCTCACAATGCCAGAGAGAGTACTGCTCCATGGAGCAGTCTCAGACACAACCACTAGGTAGTTCTGCCCACAGGGTTGGAGATGCCATCCTGTTTTCTCTAGGACTATTGAAATGTCCCTTCCAGGGCAAGATAGGGGAAAACAGGGATATCCCACACTCCCCAGTCTGGAATGTACTGTGGCCAGGAAAAGCAGGCATTGCAGAAGGGGATCCTAGCACAGAGGAGGGGATTAGGAGTGGTGATCCCTATTCAAAGGAAGAACTGCTGCCAGAGTATTTGTAGGTCAGAATGTGCCCTGTGGAGCGAAGGCATTGGACCATTGAGAGGAGAGGAATGCAGGCCACTGGTATGGGGGAGCAGAGGTATCGGGGGCACACCCCACTCCAATCCCTCAGTGCGCAGCTTTGGCACGAGTGGTATGACACTTCATACACAGCACGTGCCCATCCAGTGGGAAGCAGCCGTTCTCATCTGCCTCGATAGACAGAGGCCTCTCACAGTCCTGTGGGGAGAAGATAATAGATAGTTCAGGGACAAACGCACACGGATGTGAATGAGCCAGATGCAGGTAACAGGGCCGGGGAGGGTTGACAAGCATGAGGATAATGCCATAGTAAGACGCATGCAGGGGAAGTGGAGGGAGACTGGAAGGAGGGGCTGGGTACCTCACACTTGTAGCACTTCATATGGAAGTTCTTCTCCAGCGCTACCACGCGCACAGTCTCATCCTTTCCGGGCTCTGGCATGATAGGCTCAGTGCAGACTGAGCAGCGGGGGGCATACTTCCTGCAGCACACAGAGAAGCAGAAGAGACAGTGACATGGCAGCCTTCCCAATAGTCACAATGCAGCAGAGCTGAGGGGCAGCTTAGCTTGGAAGGTGGCTTCCCTGCAGCAAGGACGAGTGGGTGAGGGAGCGACTCCCCTCTCTTGGAAGATTAACTGCCTGCAGGACTGGGGCCTCCTGCCTACCTGTGATAGTCATCCACACAGTGGGGCTGGTTGGCTTGGTCCACAATGAAGGAGGCCCCCTCGAGGGGGGTCTGGCACACCACACAAGTGAAGCACTGGGGATGGTATGAGTTGCCTGTGGCCTTCAGCATCCGGTCTGTGATGGTCTGTTTGCAGACACTGCACTTCTCCAGGGTGCCCTAGGGAGAGAAACAGGCGAGTGAGACAAGAAGAGCCCAATTCAGCAGTACCACCAGGGTGGCTCAATGGATGGGCGGGGCAGTTTTCCTTCAGGCAACTGAGGGAGGGGAGACTGGGGCAGGCCAGCCACACAGAGTTCTGTGCCCAGACTCATAGCACAGCAGTACCCTGCCCATTCCCCTTCCAGCACTCACAGCATAGCAGTCCTCACAGAAGGGCTTCTCATCCACGTTGTAGAACTGCTGCCCTTGCAGCTGCTTCTCGCACTTGAAACAGGTGAAGCACTCCACATGGAAGAGGCAGTCCAGAGCACGCACGGCCGGCTGAGTTCGGGACAGAGGCTTCCGGCAGAGGCCACACAGCTCTGCCACATGAGGGAGAGGGGGTCAGATCAGGGGAATAGCTACCACCCATTCTGTAATACTCATCTTCCCCACGGGGGATGGGGGGAGACCATGAATGCCAGCACCCACCGGAAGTGGAGGCTTCTGCATGGGGTGGGTGCTCCATATCCTTCATGAGCTTCTGGGTCAGCATCTCCAGCTCCTCCACTTCTTTCATGGTCAGTGAGGAGTTTCCCCTGGGAGGCTCAGAACCAGTGCCCATAGGAGCCCTATGCTGCAGAAAGGCCGAGGAAGATATTCAGCACAGAGAGCATTTACTGGGGGACGAGAACCTTCCCCATGCTTATCCACCCTCGCACACCAGCACAGTATCTCTTGGGAGCACCCTGCAATTCCTGCCCCCTCCTCCAGTACCTCTGGAAAATACTTTTCTCGGCTCTCTACCTCTGCTCAAATAAGACACAGTGAAGTCTCTCCCCCAGCTGCCCCCTGTCGGATGAGTATTAACCTTCCTCTCACTGGAGGGAACCCATTCTCTCCCCCTCCCAACCACACTCCCTCTCTCAAACTATGCCCCTTACCATGTCTCGTGGGGCAGCAGGATGTGCTGCAGGACGTGGCTTCTCCTGCACCTGAGGTCTCTCCCGCTGCTGGGCATAGGTGAAACTGGGAGGCTGGGTCTTTGGGGCAGAGCTCACAGCTGAAGGGGCTGTGAATCGGGTCTGAGCAGGGGGAGGGGCAGTAAATCTCGTGGGGTTTGGCGACACCCCAGGAGCACCAGCAGCTGGTTTGGATCCAAACCTGGGGGAGTTGGCAACAGGGGAAGGGGTGAACTTAGGGGCAGGTGGGGCTGAGGGAAGAGGGGCTGCAGATGGGGCTGGCGCTCTGGACTGCATTTCTGGGGGGTCTCTACGCTGCAGTGGGGCTGCCCAGGGTGTTGGTGCAGGGGCTATACCCACTTCAGAGGGTTTTGGTGTAAAGCCTCCACTGGGTTTTGGGGTGAACTTGGGGGGGAAAGAAGCAGGAACTGGGGGATCTTTAGGCATAGCCATGATTTCTATATGGCCTTTAGGGGCAGAATGTGTTTCCAGGGGAGCCACCTGCGAGGAAATGAGGAGAACAGACAATTGGACATTCAGAGAACATGAGCAAAATCAGCATTATGCCTGTGCTTTGCAGGGCGTGTTGGAACCAAGGATGTAAATCCCATTTAATTAAACGTTAAGCCCCCCTGCCCGCACTGGAGCAGCCTCTGTGCCTTCCCCCTGCCCCCAAGGCTGGAGCAGCCCTCTGCCCATGGCAGGCCCTGGGGACTGGGGACTGCTCCTGGGTAATGAGAACCATTACCCAGCAAGCACTTACTGGGTTACCCGCTCACATCCCTGGTTGGAACACTTCAGCATGAGGTCTTCGGAGAGTCTGCATCACTGCCTGAGGCAATCCCCAACCTCATCCGCAGGCTGAGCTCATCCGCTCCCACAGACCGAGTGGAGGTGAGAGCTGCCCTTCTTTCTCCTCCCAAACTCCACATCCCACCCCATCCATTTGGCTACCCCTTCAATCCACTAAGCATCTCTGCTGCAGCACTCTCACTCCTTCCAGGTGTGCTGGTTGGGCATCTGCTGCTTACTTTGGTAGCAGCCCCCACTCCATCCTCCATCAGCCATTCCCACTGGACCCAGCACCCTCCCCATGCAACTGGCCTGCCGAGCTCCCCCCCCCCCCCCCCCCCCCCCTCACCCCCCCGGGGGGGGAGT